TTTTTTTTTTTTTTTTTTTTTTTTTTAAGCTATGTTTCTCAAATGCTCGAGTTGGCATTTCTTCCAACTAGAAGTCCCTCCTAAACCTGGTGGTCACAATGCTGGTGCACCTAGGAGCTCCCAAACTTACACTGACAGTGAGGTTAGCCCAGTTCACTTCCACTGGCATGATACTGTGATCCTTCCAGTACTGCAGGGTGTGATTGTTTGGGTTCTCTGGGACAGTACACCTGCAGCTGAGAGAAAAAAAGACTCTTGGGAAAAGCAGCCAGATATTCAAATATATGTTTTCAGCCACAACTGGGTTAATAGCTCTGGTCTGCATCTTCATTCTTTCTCTTTTGCATACTTTTTTTCAGTTTAGCCATTACTAAAGATGAACTCAAATCAACTTTCAGTCTTGGATCACATACTGACAACTAAGCCTGGCATATGATGTGATTAGTGTAAGCCCTGCTGGCTTCCCTGCTTGGTTTTCATCTCTTAGACTCTTGCTATGAAATTCAATCTACACAGCAAGGAAATCCTAATAACTCTTCTCAGTTCTCAACTATTTCCTTCAAGCCTAGATAGTTTACTTTAATACCCCCATCATGATCTTGTTCTAAAAAGTGCAGTCTAGGCTAGGGATTTGGCTCAGTGGTTTTGCCACTGCCTCGCAAGTGCAAGGGCCCGAGTTCGATCCCTGATACAAAAAAAAAAAAAGTGCTGTCTCCTGGAATTGCAATGCAAGCTCATCCGACTCTGTATTCTCCTGATAATAACCCAATACTTTGACCATTTCCTGGCTACTTGGGCTAGAGCCAGGCCTGGCAGCTCCTTTAGCTTTCTCCAGCCTTCTTTTTCATTCAGGCCAGACCAGACTACTGATAATTCCTCATTTAACAACAAGGTTATATTCCTGAAAGTAGGTCATTAAATTGATTGCTAAATGAGGAATTGTATATAATACGCACATTACAATATTAACAACAAAGAAATGGTAAAAGAAAATTCCAACTTGACAACTTTGCTTTTATTTACCTAACTCTTACATGCAGCACTGTAATACATAACAGAATACAAAACTACAGTACTGTACTATACAGTACAATCAGCAAGTACTATATAAACAAAGTGTACTGTATCAAAAAGACATTGAGGCTCTATAAATAAGATTTACAGAACTGTACACACACACACACACACACACACACACACACACACACACACAGAGAAAAAACAGAACATTAAGTCCAAGCAGTAGGTCATGATTCCAAATGGTGAGCCTCAATTATAAGTCTGAACAGTTGTTACATAGGCAGGTCATTAAACAAGGAATATCAGTACACCTACTCTACTGGCCACCACAGTCTCCCAATGCCAGCATGCTTTATGCCTGAGCTGGTTCCTGGTATGGTCAACTGATACAGTCATCCCTACCATACTTGTTTCATTTATGAATTTATTAATAAACATGCTGCCTATGACAGAATTAAAACTCAAAAAAATCTCAATAGGTCAGAATAGAGGAAACAAAAAATGAAAAGCAATAGGGAAAGCTAGAAAATGCTATGTTTAATAGGTTTTGAAGTCAATTCCATAGATAACACCAATTATTCTAATTTGATGGTTATACTTTATATATTTATATGAAAATGTCACACTCTACCCCCTAAGTATGTACAGTTACTCTGTTAATTTTACATGAAAATAAACTGGCTATAATAGAATACGTAATAATCCAAGCCAATTGGCAAGATGATCACTTGAGCTCAGGAGTTCAAGGTAGTCTGGATAAGAGTGAGACTTTGACTCAAGAAGTTTGCGTGGGCGTGTGTGTGTGTGTGTGTATTTACATAATATATATAAATGTTCTTTTTTGTTTTGTTTGTGGTACCAGGGATTGAACTCAGGACCTTGCACTTATGAGGCAGACATGGCGCCACTGAGCTAAATTCCCAGCCCTATATAAATGTTTTTTACATAGTCAAAAATAAACCAGGTGTGGAACATGCCTACACTCTTTACCCTGGGAGGCTAAGACAGGAGGATCACTGAGAGTTGAAGGCCAGTCTGAACTACATAGTGAGAGTACATAGTAAGATAGTATTTTACTATCTTAAAAATAAATAGTAAAAAATAAAATAAAATTTTAAAAATCAATTTTAAATTTGAAGCAGCCAAGCTGTTTTTCAGTAGGTAGATGGATAAACTGAGGTACACCTAGGCAGTGGAATATTATTCAATGCTACAAGACCATGGAAAAGCTAGGTGTGGTGGTGCAGGCCTGTAATCCCAGCACTTTGGAAGGCTGAAGCAAGAGGACTGCAAGTTCTGACCCAGTCTGGGCAACGTAGTGACTTAGTAGGACACTGTTTCAAAATATAAAATCAAAATAGGGCTGAGAATGTAGCTCAGTGTGAAGGACCTGGATTTAATCACAGCTACCCCTCTGCGCACATGCGAGCACACACACACACACACACATACGAGTCATGAAAGGAAACGGAGGTCCTACATGCATATGATTAGGTGAAACAAGCCAATCTAAAAGGGGCACATGCTGTATGACTATATCCATATGACATTCTTGCAAAGGCAAAACTATGCAGGTAATTTAAAAAATCAGTGGTTGTCAGGGGTTAGAGGAGATGGGTGAATGAAGAGGAGGAATACAGATGATTTTTAGGGAGGTAAAACCATTAAGATGCTGTATTTATACATTTGTCAACATCCATGGAATGAACAAAACAAGAGTCAACTCTAACGTAAACTGTGGACTTCAGGTGAGAATGAGGTGTCTGTGTAGGTTCACTGATCATAACAAATACACTACTCTGGTGGCAAAGTTGATAATGGAGGAGGGGGTTCATGTATGGAGGCAAGGAATATACAGGAACTCTTTGTGCTTTCGGCTCATTCATCTTTGCTGTGAATTTAAACAGCTCCAAAATATAAAGTCTATTTTTAAAAATCAACTGCATATATGTTAATATAAAATCTTTTAAAGAGCTGAGGATTCTAGCTTTCGGGAAATTCATATGAGCTGGCACTAGAATGCAACTAAGAAATGTACCATCTTGTTCTTTATGAACAGAGAATTACAGTTCCCAGGTCCAAAGTCTACTCAGTTGGGGCTGGTAATTTTTGTTCATCTTTTTCGATAAGTATATAAGCCTCCTGAGATTAGACCTTTGGCTGTTGTGTTAACTGCTGTTTCCAATTCCTAAAATAGTACCTGGCATACAATAAATGTTTGTTAAATAAATAAGTGAATGATTAAAAAAAAAGTCAAAGAATGAACTGTACAGAAATGAGAACTCCAATGCCAATGGGTCCCAATTCATAGGCTTTGAAGATGATACTCCTTAATCATTGATACTTTGTATTAAAATAACTTAAAATCCTTGCTTTAATCTAACTATATTTGTAAAAGTACATTTGTGGCTGGTTGGCAAAATAATGTGCTATCTTCTTGGAGGAAGCTTCAGGTTAAAGTTACCACTTCACCATCACATCCTCTACATCAGAACTGTATAGCCAGAAGGGAGGGAACAGAGTACAGAGCTAAAAGAAGAGGAGATTCCATCATAATTTGGAGAATACTATTCCACAGAAGAAATGACTGGTCAGATTCTCTTAGATGGTGGAAAACAATGCCAGATGTTGTTTCTTTTTCAGCTGATCCAAACAGTGTTGAACACCTAGAATATTTTTGAGACAGGGTTTCACTTGTGATTTTCCTGCTTCAGCCTCCTAGAGCTCTGGGATTACAGGTGTGCATCACACCTGGCTAAAGCATAAAATCTTCAGTAAAAATCCAGGAAATAAAGATGTTTCTAAACCTTTGTGGATATAGTGGGAGAGGCTTCTGATCTGAAGGAATTATTAATCTCTTTTACTTAATGGTTCCTAAGAGTTACCTGTGTATCTTCAGAGGAAAAAGCCCACTCTCTCCTTTGATAACATAGCCTAGAGGCTCATATGTCCTTGCCAAAAGTAATTCTTCCCAATAAAAACTCAAATCCCCCATTTGCAGTCAATTTTTGTCTCAATGCCTAGAAGCAAACCAAAGACCTGGAAAGCATTTCTCAAGTCTCTTCTGGGTTTCACTCTCAGTCCATCCTCAGTCATCACTTCTGATTGTTCTCCTCCGGCAGCCCTCCAGCCTTCCAGCCCTCTTCGTCTGCATCTGAGCTCTGTTTCCCAGAAGGCCAAGACTGTTCCTAAGCACTACCTGGCACACTGCATCAGCCATTCCATTTGGGACCTTTGCTCCATTCAAAAAGAGAAAAAGAAAATGATAAGCAGAAAACACACTTACTAATAGAGGCTAAGATGGTCCAGCTGGCTGTGCATGTGGATGGGATAGGTCTCTGCCAGGTGAATCAGCTTTTCTATTGCTTCATAGATGAAAATAATACATATCAGGGAGGCAAATGCTTCTTCAGTGAAGCGGGTAATGTAGCAGACAAGGGAACTGGCATCAGTTGCCACAAGCACAATGCACAGGAAGGCGGTCCACAGTCCAATACAAGCTCGCAGGGAGAGGTATGAAAGGGCATAGTCTCTGAAACAAGAACGAAATTCACCAAAAGCATGAATGGATGAGGCTAAGAGACAGCCACATATCGTTGATTCATTTCATGTTTTCATACTGGCACTGCAACCCAGTTTATCCCTAATTCTGATTGCTCTTCATTCCTAAATAATGCCCTAAGACAGTCAGATTTTAAAGATTTGCCTCACTGGGAGCCAGGCATGGTGGCACATCCACTCAAGAGGGCTGAGGCAGGAGGATTATCATAAATTCAAGGTCAGCCTGGGCTATGTAGTGAGTTGAATGCTAGTCTGGACTACATAGTAAGACCCTGTCTCAAAAAAAGATTTTCCAAGTGCTCTTTGCCATAGAAAATATATAGAAAATGGAGAAGGGGTCATCTCATACACATTTCTGCCATGACTACCCAGTGTAATTAAGAGCTTATTTGAGCAGGAAGAAAAAAGGTCTGGTTCTAGTACTATGTGCTCCTTCTTCCAATACAAAATGGAAAAAAAGATTATATAGGAAAAGTAATGAAGTCAGGGTGTTCTTGAGATGCCATTACCCCTAGCAACCAAAATATGAAAGAGGGATAGCAGGCCAAATTAAAAATTAACTTTTCCACTAAAAATGGAAATGAAGATAGAAATTATAAAGGGAAAATATTTTGAACATTAAAGTCAAGACTTAAATGATGGCTGAGGAACATTAGTCAAACTCTTTTAAAATGATGGCACACGTCTATAATCCCAGCACTGAGGACTGCCACATATTTGAGGCCAGACTGGGCTACACTGTGAGTTTAAGGCTAGCCTGAACTACATAGCAAGGCCCTGTCTTAAAAACAAAACAAAATCTACTATTATATGTATGGTGCTTCCTGGGGACAGGACAACAAACCAAATGATGCTCTTCCTTTAGGTTTTCTAGAATCTAGAATATTTGCTTGTTTGTGTCCTTGTATAAGTCTCTGGCATTCACTTCTGACAGCACAATAACCACATCCAGTTAGTTTTCAGGAAAATAAATCTCTTACTTGCAAAATTTGAACAAAATCTTCTCAAATACAAGAACTGGCCCAGTACTTCCCAGGATGGTAAGAGCCTGTCCCGCAAATAAAGAATAGGCAATCCCAGTCATGGACGCTCCAAACAAGGATTCAATTGCACTCTGAGAAGGAAAGAAACCAAAGAAAGAATTCACGGCCCATCAATAACGAGCAATGTTGACTTACATATACTCCTGACTTAGCTTTCAATACCTTGATAGTCATTTGCTTGTGTTTCTTCTTAGCAGGAGTGATGTGTACATACCATCTAATGCTCTTGTAAACAGAAACCTCCTTAATAATTCAAGTGCCAAAATCCTTTTGCATATGATTCCTCAACTAAATTCTGTTCTTCAGTGACTCAATTCAGTATTTGAAAATATACAAAAAGCTCAATGATGCTGTTCAAACTACAAACTGTCATACAGTCATTTTAAATCTTATTTTCAAATTGTATTAATATATTCATATAGGGGGCCAGAGATTTAGCTCAGGGGTTCCACCATGTGCCTCGCAAGCTCAAGGTCCTAAGTTCAGACCCTAATAGAAAAAAAAAATGTGTATATATACATATACATATATATATACATATATTATATATATATATTCATATAGAGCTGGAGATTCAGCTCTGTGGCACTGTGCCTGCCTAGCAAGAGCAAGGTCCTGAGTTTGATCCCGGGTACTAAAAAAAAAATTAATTAAAAAAAAGTATGTGTACATTGTGTGTGTGTGTGTGTGTGTGTGTGTGTGTATAATGGCTACATATGTGTGTATATATTTTTTTCATATATTTTCCATTCCTGGGGCAGTGAACAATTCAACTGGGCATCTAGCACTGAAAGTGACATTCCAGGAGAAGAGAGTCCTGTTCTAAAGAGAGAAGTGCTCTTTCACAGGAAGTCAGAAGACTGCATAATTCAGGAGGTGGAATCCAAACTCCACAGCCATAGGCCAGGTAATTTTCCACCAATGCATCTGGCTGCCACTACCATATTTTAATTCCTTTTTGGAACCATTAAGAGTGGTTAAAAGTTCTTACTATGCGTCCCTCGGTGGCTTCTCCAAGCAATCCCCCGAAGGTGATGACAGGTGACATGCAGGCACAGTACAGGAACAGAAAAGAGGCCAGACACTGTAAGCTGAGCGCATCTCGGTACTCGCTCCAGTACCAAGGGGCCTTCCGCTTGATGTCTAGCACCAAGCCCCCAAAAAGCCTGTGGAAACACAGTAGATAGGCTTCTAATGCAGTCCCTCACCCCCAAAAGCACAGGACCAGCACACATGGAAAAGCTTTTCAAATGTGCCGGGCACTGTGGTAGTATTTTGGCCCCAAGTATGGGAGATCTCTTTGAGATCAGCACAGATTCTATTTGCATTCAAGGACTTGATTTATAGTAGATGTGAATAACTTATCCTGAGAATACAAAGAATTTGAGTAGCATATTACCCATTTTTTTAAAAAGTTCAAAAACTTAAGAAAGTATCAGTCTGAAACTTCAAATTCTGAGCTGTTAGGAGGAAACATGTCAAACTAACAAAGTATTAAATTGTTAGTTTATTAAATATTTTCCAGATAAAAAGTCCTTATCACAGGCACTTTCCTACTCTGAACAACCACCTACTTTGCTATTGGGAAATTAGCTTAATTAGTTCATTCATGCACCTGACAAGGAATAGCAACTATATGGTGCAGGACTACTCCAGGTACTGGAGATGAGCAGCAGGACAAACACAGCCCTTGCTCTCCCAGACCAACAGTATAGTGCAGGAGACAGGCAGTGCTATGAGGGTGCTATGGGATCACAGGACGGGGAGGGCATTTTAGTAGGGACTCAAAGAATGGACCTTGAGAGAGCCAGATGAGGCAGGAGGCTAGCGTGAGAGACATCTATGAGGTGAGAGTGCATGCTGGGGTCAAGGTACTGGAACAGATGTGACTGCATAACACAGTGTCAGAGGCAAATGGCGACAAGGCTAGATGGAGAAACTGATTCACAAAGGGCCTGAAAATGGTAAAAGAACTTGAACTTTGTTTAAACAGCAAGCCAAATTACTGAAGGACTATAAACAACAAAGCAACATAATCGAACATGCATTCTAGTAGCATAATAAGAGGAGTGAGGATTAGGATGGGGAAAGAGGATAGATCCAAATGCTAATCAGGAGGCAGAAATTACAGGACTTTGTGGCCAGAGTTCAGAGCCCTCTTGCCTTCTCACAGATGAAAGAGATGAAGAGTAAGATCTCCCACACTGAGGAGGAACTGTGCTCCCAGAGTCAGCCATTTTTTTCTAAGAATGGAGTCGCTACACCAGGGCGAAAAATTGTCAACCGAGTAACGAAAACAGCCACTGCATTCTACAGGACACATCATCTGGTTTTTTCTATAAATAGCATAGAATAAAATAAAAGGAAGAGGGGCTATTATAGACTGGCAGCATAATAACCAAACTCAAACCTCAATTGGATGCTGTATCAAACAAATGAACTCTAAAGAGCTATTGCTAACAATCACAAAAAAACAAAATGGACTGAGCATTAGATAATTTAAAGAATGATCATTAATTCTGTTAGACCCAACAATGCCATAATTACTTTTAAATGTCCTTATTAATCAAGGTATATACTGACAGGTATTTATAGGAAAAATGATATGATATCACTGGTTTGGCTTAAAATAATCTAGACAACATATAAATAGGAAGAAATAGATGAAATAAGATTGGCAAGATATTGCCAAGATATTGCTATTCTCTTTTCTTAATATGTTTGAAAATTTCTATAATAAAAAGCAAAAACAAAAAACAAGCTACTCTTTCATGGAAGGAGACACTTAGCCAGCTCCTTCTTCCCTTACCTCATAGGCGCCTGGAGAATGATGAGGCCTGGGAGCAGGGGAGAACGCCTGCCCTATCCTATCTCTTTCTCCTCTCAAATGCTCTTTCATTTAGCAAACAGAGTGGGTGCCAGGTGGACCCAGGGCAGACGCTGTTGTAGCTTACCCTCTTGTTCCTTTCCTCTCGTTTGGGGGATGTAGTTGGGATTCACCTTTCGCCTACTTCTAGCAGATACTTCAAAATTAGGTTGTGGGCTCTGGAAGAGACACAATGCTAGTAGCCTTGTGACCTGCCTTACTTTTAGCCTTTCTGGCAAACCAGTTTAGATAAAGAAGCTATCTACAGAGTCTAACCTAGATTATGAGAGTTTACCCTTAGGGTCTGGGAACAAGACTCTCATTAATAAACTTGTACTTTGAGCTGGGTGTGGTGGTGCAATGCCAGCACTCGGGAGGCTGAAGCAGGAGGATCGCTGAGTTCAAGACCAGCCTGGGCTACATAGTGAGTTCCAGGTCAGTCTCAACTACATAGTGAGATCCTGTCTCAACCAAAAAACAAACAAACAAACAAACAAACAAACTTGCACTTTGTCTTGCTCTCTTTACTAGATAAATAGCCCTCCAAGGACCTAACAACAGGCTGCTAGCAGTGATTAGTCTGAACAAGATTCAAGTGTTGCTGGGTCCTTGGCCACTACAGCATCTTATTTCCTGATGAATAGCACCTCTTCATCACAAGTAGCTTTCCTCTGAAGGGCATTTGTCTAGAAAAAGAATCTCTTTTGTACCCCACTGAAGCCACCTGACATGCCACTATAATTGTCTGTCGCTTGCCACAGGAGTCACTGTTAGAAAGGAATGTCAGCAACAGGCAAAAGATTTATGGGAATGGACTTGTGAAAAGATATAGAGAAGGAAGGCACCTGTCTGCCTAGCAGTGATTAAAAGAGGGGAGAAGGAGGTCCAGAGCTCATATTGATAGTTTAACCATAAATTAACTATAAATAACTTCTGAATACTGTATTTGTAGTCAGTCTCATACCTCATTCCTTCATAAAATCAGACCATAACTGCACTTCTACCACGGATATTAATCAGGCATGTATGCCTGTCTCATATTTGCAACTTCTTTTCCCTTCCTTCCCTTCCTAGATGTTCAAGTGTTTGGGGGGCAGGAGGCACACAGGCATATGAATTTAAGCTCGATGCCAGAAAGGACTTACCCTGTAGAGGGTCAAAGGGTCTGGAGCAGTGACTTAGGGAGCCCTTCCCTGAAGGGCTTTAGGGCCAGGCAGGCCAGGCATCCATTTGTCTGGTGTGCTTTGGAAGGAACCACTTGAAGTGTATGTGGGGGTGAAGGAGGTCATCGAGATAGTAACTCCTGACTCTTTTTTTTCACTAACCCATCCCAATAATTGGCATCCCTAAAAAGGATATAAATCTGTCCTGGAAAATTCCTCTCCAGAGTATTCTCCTTGAGACAGAGCTTCTGGACTAGGGAGACCCTAGTCATACTCTGTTCTTTGCTATGTATGGCATCCCTGCTTGCATCAATATCAAGGAGGTTAAAGACACTGTCATGGCCTTGGCTTGGAGGGCCAGAAAATATAGAGTTCAAAGTACTGTTTCCTGTCTTCCGAGCCTCAGACCCTTCTTTATCCAACAAGAATAATATACCTTAAGGTTCCAAATTTTGCCTCAGTTGTAAAGAGCAGATTTTGCATTCAAAGAGATACAATGAGTGTTCTGAATAATTATAAAATGGAGGCTAATGTGCCTTTAGACTACATATCCCAGGAAGGCCCAAATACTTCAGCGATGTCCAGCTGCAGATTCTCATTTTCCTCACACATCTTTTGAAATAGGAAAGGAGTCAGAGGTGGCCTAACCTGGTGATCTCTGATACATCACTGGGTTACCTGGCCTAAGAGGCTATAATGGGGGAAAGTCACATGTCTTGCGGTTCTTTACTAAGGTCTTTGAGGAAAACATCAGAAGCTCAGGAAGGGGGACTACCAAGAAGAAGGAAGCTCTGAGCTCAGAGCTTTTTTTATTTTTTTGCTTTGTCCAATTCCAGAGGCTCCTGACATGACACTATGAGAGGACTTCAAACCCATTTGAATGTATGAATTAAGGTACTTAGGGTTTTGTGTTTGTTTGGCTTTTTGAGACAGGGTCTCACTACTTAGTTCAGGCTGGCTTAGAACTCACATTAGCAGTCTTGGACAGCAGGGATCCTTCTGCCTCAACCTCCCAAGTGCTGGGATTACAGGATGCACTACCATGCTCAGCAGTATTCGGATTTGTGATTAAGCATGTGATAGTCCTGACAATATGGGATTTACTTTGGGAGCATCAGGCACCATTTCTGAGATCTTATGATTTTTCAGATCTAGTCTAATGGTCTTTCATTCCCCCCTCCATGTCCTATAAAATTGCTTACAAGTATGATTATATCCTAGTTTACTGTGTTTTCTCTGGCTCTGAAAGAAAGCTGAAATCTCACCTTTACACAGATATCCATTTGAAGAAAACCCTGTTGTTATTAATCTACAGTTTCAAACTCTAAGTCCTAGAGTGTAGATACCTTTTATATCAAAAATACAAATCTTAATTCTGAAGTTATTTATCAGATCCATACTCCAGACCCTTTGTAGGGGTATGGGTGGAGGACTCCTCTGGGACAGTCTCAGACCTAAAGCCACTGTCAGGAGAGGCATTTCTTTTACTATCTAAAAGCATCAGGCCCCCACCTATTCAGACCTCTCTCAACTTTAAGGAAGATGTTTAACTCACTCCTTGAAGCTGCTCCCTCTTTGCAGAGATCCCTTTGATTCTAAGGCTCCTCCTTTTGGCCAATTCTCCCTCCCAGAGTAGTTATTGTCTCTAATCCTCAGACACATTCTTCCAACCAAAAAACATACTCCCCTATCACAACATTGCTAGTGAAGTGACATTCTCTCCTGTTTCTCTGTCTCCTCTTCTTTCTGAAATTTTCCCAGAGTGGAAAAATAATTTATCTTCACAATTTTAAAAAATCCTAGTTTCCATTGAATAGAAAACTGAGAACAAAAGTAAAGAAAGGAGCCTCAAGCAAAGAGAAGATGCTGTGACCTTACTTAGCAGGAATACCTAATTTCAAGTATAGAGACTACTAGAAGGGTTTCCAAAGGAAGTGCACCTAAGCTGGGCAAGGGATAAGTGGAGTTATTCAGGAGGGAGAGAAGGGAGAGAACGTTTACTTCAGAGGAAACAATGTGTGGGAAGGGCTGGAGGTGAAACAGAAAATGATACATGGTTTGATAAACTTGAATGAATAAATGATATAGTAATTCATGTATTAGTAAAACTTATAGTCAGTGGTTCCATTTAAAAAGTTATTCCCAGACAATAAAGTCCCAATTCAGAGAAAAAGGCAAAATACAAAGAAGATGCCTCATTTCTTTATACAACTTCTGCCCAATAAGCAAGCATTAGCTGTAAAATGTCCCAGGACTTACCGCCCAGTACGTTGAAGTTCTGGCCCACTATGACCCCCATGTGGTTCTGGTTCTATGTGGCAAACATTTCCATTTGGAACCCCAGGCATTTTCCTCTTCTCCTTTTTAACATAAGAACTCAATTTAGTAAAGTCAGCATCTATCTGCTCTTCCTGCTAACACAGGGGAGTGGTGACAGGATAACCCAAAGCAACTAAACTGCTTAAGTGTTTGATGCTTTCAAATGCATTTACTGATTTAATACAATTTGACTTTCTTGAAATATGGTGTGTGTGTGTTTACATGTATAAAACTTCTCTTCTTCTCTGATATAACCTGATTCCTAACTATAGAAGAAACCAAGAAATGGGAGCTTAGACATCAGATAATGAACTAAGTTTTAGTTCCAAATCTGCTTCTGTGTAATTTTACTTTACCTTAAAACCCTGACATGGAAGATCATTTTATTCTTCTAAGGACTAGAAAATCTTTTAGGGAGATTTTGCTGGGAATACTGAATTCACACACACAAAACATCTGGCCTGGCACCCAGTACACAGTAGGAGTTCGCTCTCCATGTTTATTTCAGAAAAGTGTGAGGAACTCTTTTTGCTCTCTTCATAAAACTTGACTTTTCATTTATGACTTTGTACATGATATACTCCAAAGAAATGTTCTCCTTCTCTTTGTGGCCATTTTATAGCAATCCTTCAAATCTGGCTTAAAATTCATCTCCAGGTAACCCAGATACCTCATCATAATGGAGCCAGTCCATGTTATAGATATTCAATTTGAATTACTACTCTGACATTCTAGGAGCCCCCAGACATGGTCATGTTTTAATTTATTTATGCCCATATGATCTTTTGTTTGTCATAGCACCTTAGTGACTTTAGCCTCCATTGGCTAATGTGCATACGTTACCTGGGAAGGGACGTTTTTGGGTGGCTCAATTCTAATGGACGGGTCCCACTCCCCTGGAGGGAGCACTGTCACCTGGTCTAGGAACTCATCAATCCCTGCCAGGAGATCATCTCGCTCTTTTGCTTTATATGCCACATCATGAAAAATCTACAAAGAAAAAAAAATCTTTAGCAAAGTTAAAGTTTATTTTTCTTAGACACAGTGGTAGATGAGTACAACCTCTTGATTTTTATTACTGATATGGGAATAAGAGAAGCAAAAAAATTAAGAGAAATATAAGGTTAAAGGATAAAAAAAATGAACCAAGAGATGAGGTGGGTAAAAAAGAATACATGTCTGCTAGTATAAGAAGAGATGACATCATTTTAAAGTGATGTAATTCTACTATCTCTACAAAGAATTTAACAAAAAGTAGGATTATAGAAAATTTTCTTGATCATTACTAAGAATGGAATTGCTAACGAATGTCCTCCATGAAATAAGCTTCCCAATCAAAAAAGCTGATAAAATACAACCTACATTTCCCTCTTATATATCCCTTAGATATATACCTTGAGAACCCTGCTTTGGAGCTTACACGTGCAACACAGTCCTCACCAGGGTATATATAAGGGATCGGCACAGTGTTGAGATGTCTGGTGGCTTGGTACAGACAAGACAGGACATTCACATACACTGCCTGAGGTCACATTCCTGACCTTCTACAAACTGGTCTCACGCAGAATGGGAGTAAGGTTTATTTGTGAAAATAGATTGGATTGTATTTAATTAATCATAGTCTAGGATGTTAAATCAGCTTCATTTTGCCATGCATTCTATGTGGCAGCAATAATCCACTTCCCAAAAGGGTTTCTCTGCGTCTTTGATTGATCAAAAAGGTAGAGATACCCTAAGAAAAATAGGCTTGGCCCTCCCAAAATAGTCTCTCAGAGAAGGGCCCTAAACTGCTTCCCAGTAGATACTGTAACTGTAATCATTTTATCCCCAGCAATTAGCACAGCACCTGACACAGGAAAACACACTCCATAAATATTTATGACATGAATAGATGAGAAGTGGCATATATACCTCATCTGTCATGATGGTGGCCATGGATCTGCCAATCTCATGGTACTGCTGACCTTTCCCTACTGGACCCAATAAGATAAACAGAAATCTGGCAAAACACAGGAGAAGAAGTTATACAAGTAAAAGTGAAGAAGTGACATCTTACTCCTTTCTAAATCACAAAATGTTTCTCTTTCCTATCAAAGACAAATCATCCCTATACCTCCAAAAAATTAAAATGAAGCAAGGAGACATACTAAATACAGAGCACTTTAAGATGCTTGACCTAGTAGCTCCAACATAAGTATGAAAAGTTATCTGTATGACATCATTCAACAATGTGACTACATTTTTTAAGGTTTCCGTATACATAATCCCCAGTTTTGGAAAGCACATCTTTTACAAACATGGCACTGCAAATTCAGGGTTGTGACTCCCATTCACTGTTCTAATGAAATCATAGGGAGAGGATAGGCATATGGAAGCTGACATGACCAAGTCCTGTAGAAGAGACTATACTGTGTTCTGGACAGCTGAATACTCTGTAATTAGTGGGGCTCCGAATCACTGTCCTCCCCACCTTCAGAGTGCATGAATAGCCTTTTGGACAAATGCAGGCATATGTGCAAACCATACAAACCCTGCCAGAATTGAAAAGAGACACCTTTACTTGGAAACGTTTCCCTTGGATATGTCACTACAGCAAGTGAGAGTGAGGCTTCCTATTAGAACAAGTGACAGGACTTGCTAGGCCTTTTGAATCTCTTCAGCTCTCATTTTCAAGATTGTACTGTGCACTTACAGCCTTAAAATTCACAATTCCTTTACCTGATAGTAAAATTTTAAGCACCATTTTCAAAATTAATTAATCTTAACTTTAGGCATTAACTGCTTTATTCTACCAGTGCTCACATAAATTTATACTTTGGATAGAATGCATTGAGGTTTTGAAATTTATTCATTTATTTAGGTACTGGGGATCGAACCTTGGTCCTTGCACTTGAGACAGGCGGTGGCACCACTGAGCTAAATCCCTGGCCCTACTTTTATTTGTTTTTTGATTGGAACATCTTTGCAGTACATAACGATTATATTCATTCTGGGGAAATGGTACATGTACATACACATCTTAATTATCTTTTGTTCCCTTCTCTGCCCCTACTCTCCCCTCCCTTTCCCCTCCTTCTATGTCTTGGTCCCCTTCCCTTTTGCAAAAATTCTATCTCCTTGCTTCTGTTATCTATCTTTTACATTGATCTTTAACTTATTTACCCTATGAAATATTTAGGCTTGTATGTCTTTTTTTTTTTTTTTTTTTTTTTTTTTTTTTTTTTGGTATTGGTCAGCCCTTTTTTTTTTTTTTTTTTTTTTTTTTTTTTTTTTTTTTTGGTACTAGGGATGGAACTCAGGTCCTTGAGCTTGCAAAGCAGGTGGCGGAACTACTAAGACAAATCCCCAGCCCTGTATGTTTTATTATTTCACTTAAACTTCTGGCCTCAGGGTGCATCCATTTTTCTACAAATGAATCAAATTCATCTTCTTTATGGCACAAAATCCATTATATATAAAGAGAAAAATAAAGGAAAGAAAAGGTGGTATTCATATAAAATGCACTGAGTTTTATCCTTGCCTTTACCTTGTTGGGATCGGCACTTCTGTCAAGCCTGACAGAAGAACAGCAGGAGACAGCCTCACAAAGGCAACAATAGGCCGGTCCAAAGTGTCCACCTCTCCAACCAAGACGTTTGAGGCCTCTGCCCCAGTGGGGATTTTTTTCATAAAATGAAGGTCAACCTGAAAGTGCAAAAGAGCCTCTTGATCTTGGAGCTATCACCTTAAACGTCAATCACACTTCTCATACCTTACCTTCACATGTCATTTTATGGTTAACAAATGTTTTTCCTCACAGTTTTATTGATCTTTATCAGTCTCTGGATGATGGATAACACAGGTCACATTAGTCCCACTATTGAAGGAGAAGGAGAAGAAGGAGAAGAAGAAAAGGGAAGGAAGGGAGAAGGGGTGAGGGGGAAGGGAGAAGGAGAGAAGAAACTGAGACCCAGAGAAGAGAAACTGACTTCCCCAGGACTATAGAGCTTTTAAGATAAAGAATCATAATTCAAACCCAGATGTTCTGATTTCAACCTCATCCTACCATGCTTCCTTAAAGAGAAATGTCTTTGAAGCTCTGGGTCACATTATTTGACTTTACCCGAATGCCTTGTCAGAGGCCTCAGGTTTTTCCAAATAAAACAGGAAGCCTATGAACAGAGAAAGGAGCATGACATTCCCATGTTTTAGAAAGAGAGTGTCAAGGATAGACCAGAGCAAGGAGAGGCTGGAAGCAGGAAGACCCAGGCCTAGACCAGAAGCAGTAATGATACCACAGTCACAGTCCACAAGAAGAATTTCAACCATAAGATGGCTTTAGATGACAGATGCTTTAGTAAAACTCTTGGAGATGAAAAGGAGCTTCAGAAGAGCAGATACCAAAAAATAACTGAAAAATCTGGAGGTCTGGGTTAGGGAAGACTCTCAGTAGCTAGTCTCATTTTTTAGCTTTGAATCTGGAGGAACAAACTGACAAATACAGCCTCACTAAGCTGAGATGGAAGGGAGAAGGTATGACAGGTGGGCCTGTTTTTCCAGAAAAAAATCTCTGCTCTTTAATACTCATATCTAGAATATATAAAGAACTGAAAAAAACCCAGGACCCCTTCCCCAGTTTAAAGGCCCAATCCAAAAATGGGCATCTGAAATGATTGATACTTCTCAGATGAAGAAGGACAGTCAATATATGAAAAAATGCTCAACATCACTGGCCATTCAAGAAATGCAAATTAAAACAACACTGTGATTCTATCTCACACTAGAAAGAATGGGCATCATCATGAAGTCAGCCAGTAACAAATGCTGGTGAGGCTGCAGGGAAAAAGAAACTCTTCTCCATTGTTGGTGGGAGTGTGTATTGGTACAACCACTATGGAAATCAGTACAGTGCTTCTTCAAAAAACTTGAACTAGAGCTATCCCCCTCCTGGGTATTTTCCCAAAAAAGTTAAAGTCATCATACCAAAGTGATACGTGCATACCTGTGTTTATAGCAGCACAATGTATAAAGGCTCAATCTTGGAAACAGCCCATATGCTCATCAACCGATTAATGGATAAAGAAAATGTGGCACTTATATACAATGGAATACTACTCTGCCACAAAGACAAATCTTATACATTTTTAGGTAAATGGGTGCACCGCAAGACCATAATCATAAGTGAAATAAACACACAAACTATCACATTGTTTCTCTTACATAAGAAACCCAAAATATAAATAATAAGCAAAATAGAGGCTAGATAATAGGAAATATGAAGAACTTGTTTAAATGGGAAAGGAAGCAAGAAATGGGAGGAGGGAAGAGGAAAGGAAGGGAAAAGGGATTAAATGAAAAAAAAAAGAAGAGTTAAAGAAAAAATAGCAATAGAGCTTTGTAAATGGGAAGGGGAGAAAAGATGGAGGGAGGGGAGTGGAAAGGGATTAAAAAAAATCAAGATATGCTTTGTACATGTGCAAATACCAAAATTTCCCCACATTATAGCAATTAGATGCAAGGTTCCACTTGAGATAGCCTTGGACCTAAAAGCTGACTGCCCATGTCTCTGCTCACCTTGCTTAAATCCACAGGACTGTGTTCACAATTCACTCCATTTTTCACTTCAAGATTTGTAGCTGGAAGAGACTGAGGTGATATAGTTTGACCTATTTGGAGAAAATCAAACATAATCCTCTAAGTGCCTGCCCCTTTCCTTTTCTGACACACCCTATGCATCATCAATCAGCTATAACTTCTCCTACAAAGGCTACATGGAGAGGAAACCAAGATGACTGTAAGCCAGGACCCATTCATATCTGTCTCCCTACCTATGAGTTAGTGGTAAAAGGAAAACAGACATCTTGCTACTTCTGCACCTTCCTGGACACATTTGGACCCTTTTATTTCTCTATTTAGACAGTAAAATACTTAGCCAAAAGCATATATGACAGACCTCTATTGAGAACTTTTCAAAAAATACAGTTTCCCAGACATATCCCTGCACATTGTAATTCAATAAACTAGGAGACCATGAGATGAATGTAGAAAAGATGAAGCCCTGCCCAGCTACAAGAAAGGGAACCAACCAGCAGATGAAATTCACTGAATACTAACAACCATCTGCCTAAATTTACTCACGGTAATCTCATAATAAACCGGAGGATAATGTCCTATTATTGTCTTGATTTTGCAAGTGTGAAAATAAGATTTAAAGAACTTTAGAAGGTTGTCCAAGGTCATACATTTTGCAGATGGGAAAGCCAGGAACACAAGCCTAGAAGTCTGATTCAACTCTACACTATTTAAGAGTATAGCTCAGTGGTCGAGTGCCTTCCTAGCATGTGTGAGGGCCTGTGTGTGATCCCCAGCCAGGTGGGGTGGGGGAGGGGGTCTACACTACTGTATTTTGCCTCCCTAATCAGTAAGCCATCTGTTTACTCCTAAAAGGCTCACCTTCTCTGACCCCAAATTTATCCCCAATATGGCTATGCCAGTTCTGAGAACACCCTAGGGCACAAGCTCTTTACCTTGGGGATACTGAGCTCCATCAAAAAGCAGGCATCCTAAGTGCCATGAGAGAGACACACAAGCACTGCCAGCCACTTACCTTATTAATCACCAAAAAGTGCAAAATGGTTAAGTGGGCATAGAAACATTGTAAATATAGCCTCTACCCGCTAGTACCTCAGCATTAGTAAAGAGAAACAATAATCACTTATAATCATTTTACCATTCTTATCCATTGAATGTGGATCAGACTGTTTCTTGCCAACCTCAGCAAAGGAGCGAACAATGGGAATGAGGTTGTTTCTCTTCTTTTCATTTTGATGATGATGCTTTTTCAGAAGGGCTTCCCGCACTTTAACCCTCATGCTGTCATTCAGGTCACTGAACAGTTCCTGCTGGTCCAGTATCAGGTCTAGAAAGTAGACATTCACAAGAACACTCAAACTGAATGTTGAGGAATGCAAGGAGGCCAACATCAGGTGGCACAGGAGTGAGGGCAAGGGCGAAGGGGAAGCAGCTCCGATAGGGTCACTGAGATATAATTTTAACTTCATTGTCTAAAAAAGCTATTTAATTACCGTGGCTGTGGAAAGTTACACTTTATTCATGGGCTGGGGATTTAGCTCAGTAGTTCCACAACCAAAAAAAAAAAAAAAAAAAGAAAAAAAAAAAAAAAAAAAGAAAAAAAAAAAAAAAAAAAAAAAAAAAAGAAAGAAAGAAAGAAAGAAAGAAAAAGAAAAAAGAAACAGTCTTACTATGTTGACCAGATGGCCATGAACTAATGAGTTCAAGTGATCCTCCTGCCTCACACATCTGTGAAGGTGAGACTACAAGTGTGTGCCGCTGTGCCCAGTTCAAATCACCATTATTAAGAACAAAACTTACTCAGTACTTAACATACATCAGGAAATATAATGTGAACTTTACATTTATTATTTGTCTAATCCTTACCACAACTCTGAGAAGTAGATTATTACTATAACAACTTCTACAGATGAGAAAATTGAGGACCGAATGTTAGGTCTCACATCTAGTGAGTTTTAGAGCTGGGATTCATCTTCAGGACTGTGTAATTCAAAGGCCTACATTACTACCTACTTCATTCTGTCACCTGCCAAACTTCTTCAACATTCCCTTCCTCTAAGAATTTAACACTGCTGGAATTGACAAGAGGACAGTAACTGTATGTGGCTATTTGAGAGTAGACCCTATAAGAAAAATTACCTCACCTCACACAGTTACTATCAAGTATTAATCTTTAACCCATTATGTTCAGTAGATTTAAGGGACAAAGAATTGCAGTACTTGGTACAGTCAGCACAGCTGTTCATTGTATAGATTCCGGAGCTGTACCCCACATGTTATACCAGTTCCATTACTTTCTACTGAGGTGATCTTGGACAAGTCACATAATCCCTCTGTTCTCAGTTTCCTCAGCTGTGACATGGAACTGAAATTATCACCCACATTCTAAGACTGCTGGTTGTTACAGAGAACTAAATAACATGATATACAGTAAATAATGATTTACAGTAAATGCTTGATAGAGCTTACTTATCCTGATCACTAATATTTTGAATATATAGGTACCTGATATGAAGACCATAGTAGTTTTATTTGATTCTTATATACTTCTCCCTAATCCTCTCACAAACCTCAACCTATCCTCAATTTCCAACTTCACAAATCACTAACCAAGTGTTAGAAGCAATAAATGAGGAAAATCTATTTCATATTCAGGCTGAAGAGCCATATTTTTGTATCTCTAACCTTTATATTAGTTGATTCCTTTCAGTCCTCATCCCATATTTATAATTATGCTTCCAGATCCTTCATCTTGAGAGGGAAAAAAAGTCCAGGTCCCTTCTATCAATTGTCCCCCTTTTCTCTTTTCCTGTCACTTAAGATTCTCCAAAGATAAATTCTTCAGCCCTTTAGGCCATACCAATGAATCTGCTTCTGATAAAATCACCAACAACTTTGCAATTGCTAAATCTGATGGATATTTCTGATCATTATCTCACTTGACCACACTGAAGCATTTGACACTGATAAAGCTTTCTCCTCTCTTGGTTTCTGTAGTAGGTTCAATAGTGCCTCCCAAAATATCTACATCCTAACTGTCCTCACCAAAATCTGTGAATGTGATTTCATTTTTAAAGCACTCTTTGTAGACGTAATTTAGTTAAGGATTTCAAGATGAGGTTTTTCTGGATAATTGGAATGGGCTCTAAATCCAATGGCAAATGTCCACATAAGAGACACACAGAAGAGTGAGATACAAGAGGATAAATCCAGGGATGTCGAATATTTCTTCATGTATTTATTAGCAATTTGTACTTCTCATAAATGTCTATTCACTTTGCTTGCCCATTTTTTGATTGGGTCTTTCGTTTTGAGAGTTCTAATTATTTTTTAGTTGTTTATATATTCTAGATGTTAGTCCTTTGTCCAAGGAATCACTGGCAAAAAAATTTTCCCCTTTCTGTAGGTTGTCTTTCCACTGTTGTTTCTCTTTTGCTGTGCAGAAGCTTTTCAGTTTGATATGATCCTATTTGTTGGTTCTCAGCATTTCTTACACTTTTGGGGTTCTGTTCAGAAAGTCTGCTTATAGGGCCAGGGATTTAACTCAGCAGTTCGGTAGTCTGCCTTGCAAGCACAAGGACCCAAGTTTGATCCCCGGTACCACACACAAAGAAAGGCTGCTTATACCTATATCTTCAATAATTATACCTATTTTATCTTCTAATAGATTAAGTGTTTCTGCTTAACATTTGTTTCTTTGATTTTAGTTTAGTATATGATGAGAGATTTGGTCTAGATTCAGTCTTCTGTATGTGGAGAGCCAGTTTCCAAATACCATTTATTAAAGAGGTTATCTCACCTGCAGTGTGTGTTTTTGGACCCTTTATCAAAGATCAAATAGTTAAATGTACTTGGAATTGTTTCTTCATCTTCATTCTACTCCACTGATCTCATGTCTGTTTTTGTGCCAGAAGCATGCTGTTTTTATCACAGTAGCATTTGTAATATTACTTCAGGTCTTAAAATGCCTCTCATTTTGCTCTTTTTGCCCAAGATTATGTTTGCCATTCTCAGTCTCTTCTGGGTCCATATGAATTTTAGGATTTTTCTCCATTTCTGTGAAGAATGCTGTTGAAATTTTGATTGTGACTGTGATAATTCTATGAATCATTGTGATATATCTGTTCTGGAGTCATCACCATTTTGACTATATTGGTTTTGTTTAGCCAGAAACAGGAGATGTCTTTCCATTTTCTGATGTCCTCTTGGAGAAATGCAAATTAAAACAACACTGGGATTCCATATTACTCCAAAAAAATGACCATAATCAAGAAATCAAACAATAGGGGCCAGAGATTTAGCTCAGTGTTACCACACCTGCCTTGTGAGTGCAAGGTCCTGAGTTTGATCCCCAGTATCAGAAAAAGAAAGAAATCAAACAATAACAAACGCTGAAGAGGCTGCAGGGAAAAAGGAACCATTTTACACTGTTGATGGAAATGTAAACTAGTACAGCCATATGGAGATTCCTCAAAAAACTGAAACTAGAAATCCTACTTGATCCAGCTATCTCTCTTCTAGGTATCTTCCCCAAAAGAGTAAAAGACATCATATTATTTGGTTTTTTGGTACCAGGGATCGAACGTGGGCCCTTGTGCTTATGAGGCAGGTGGCAGAACCACTGAGCTAAATCCTTGGCCCTAAAGACATCAGATTATGGTGATACATGCACCCCCATATTATAGCAGCACAATTCACAATAGCTCAATCTTGGAAGCAGCCTACATATACATCACCAGATGAACATATAAAAAAATGTGACTTTACATCCAGCGGAACACTATTCTGTCAAAAAGAAAGATAAACTTGGGTCATTTGGATGAAAATGGATGCCCCTTGAGACCATAATGTTAAGTGAAATAAATCAAACACATGAACTTAAATATTGCATGGTTTCTCTTATATGAGAAACCCAAAGTAAAAAGCAAAGAGCAAAATAAAAACTCATATAATAGGAAGTAGGGAGATAGGTCTTTCTCAAAGGGGAAAGGGAACAAGAGATGGAGGAAGGAGAGGCACAGGGGATGAAAAAAGGAATTAAGATGTGTTATGTACATATACCAACTCCCCACAAGTTATGTAAACATTATGTAGTACATATATTTACTAATAAAGTGTTTTTAGATATCTTTGCAATTTTGAAAGGGATTATGAATCTATAAGTCACTTTGGGTAGTTTGTACATTTTAACAATAAAGTCTTCAAATCCAGGAGAAAAAAAAAAAGAGGAGAAATCCATAAAAGACAGAGGCAGAAATTGGAGTTAATGCAGGCATAAATCAAGGAATACATACAGGCACAGAAGCTAGAAGCTGAAAGGATCAACGAATGCTTTTCCCAACCTTGGGAGCCTTCGGAAAGAGTATGGCCCTACCTATGCTTTGATCTTGGACTTGAGACCTCTAAACTACAAGAGAAAACATTTTTTGAGGGCCGGGAATTTAGCTCAGCAGTTCGGTGGCCTGCCTTGCAAGTGCAAAGACCCCAGTACCAAAAAAAAAAAAAAAAGAGAGAGAGAAAACATTTTTGTCTTCTTAAGCCTCCTAGCAGTCTTAGGAAACCAACATGGATTTCATGATCATCACTTGATTCTCCACCCACCTCCCTGAGTGCTCTTCTCAGTCTCCTCAGGATACTTTTCTTCTAACCTACTTACAAGGCCCCTAAAGCTACCTGTCAACATTAGAGTTCCCCCCAGTTTTTGTCTTCAGCCTTCTGATCTTCTCTCCCCTAATAATCTCAACCATCTTCAAGATTCTAAATACAATCTGCCTATAGTGACCTCCTACCAGGAACTTCCTAAAACTATATCCTAACTCAGATCTTTCCCAAGTGCTCAATCAAAGTTCCAACTGGGGAAAAGATAGGTCTTTTTAATAAATGGTACTGGGAAAATTAGATATCCACATGCAGAAGACTAAGTATAGACCCATATAAAAATGGATCAAAAAATTAAAGGTAAAAACAAACACTTAATCTGTTGGAAGATAAAATAGGTACAACTCTTGAATACATAAGCATAGGCAAGGACTTTCTGGACTGAACCCAAAAGGCAGTAGATAAAAAATGTTTGCTAAATGAACTGGCAAACATACGGTTATTTGAATCCCATAATAATAGGTAGATTCGCTTATTAGTTTGAACCCATCCCACAGCCAAAAACATTGAGGTCAGAAGAAAGGCTATGACTTGTCTAGGAACACACACCAATTTTATTCATTCCACACCATGCTTCTTTTTCTCCTTCTTTTCTTTTTTGAGTTGCTGAGCAGCATTTTATTATGTAGTACAAGTGGGCCTTGAATGCTCTATGCAGCCCAGGCTGATTTTGAATTTTTGATCCTCCTTTCTCAGCTTCCAAAGTGCTTAGACTACAGGTGTGCACCACCACACGAAGCCTGCACCATGGTTCTTAATTTACGAGTTTTTCTGTTTTCCCTCACCTAACCTTACCTGAAATTTCCTCAATGCTATTTGCACGCATATCCAGAAGGACAGTTCCATTAATGAGGCAGCTCCTTAATTCAAAGAGACTGTGCAGTGAAAGGGTTGCCACATATGGCTTGCTCCAGCGTTCTCCCCCATCTTCCACGTCTTCCTCAAACTTCAGCCACCTGAAAGCATTACAAATAGCTTGATGCCAATGATAGAAAATGAAGAGTTTTCAAAAGAGAAAAATATATGAGTAGTCGTATTAAATATTGTAAAGACCAATCTATATGTTTGGCGCACACTGATTAAGTAGAAAAAGCAACTTATAGAACATTACGAGATTAAGAAAAAAATTTAAAAATAAAAAAAGGTTGAGGGAGTTTAATTCTATTTTTATTTAAAGAAAATTTTAAAATACAAATATATACATGTATAAGGCACTAAATATATTCCTTATGATTCCTTAGATAGTGGAATTAGAGATAATTTTCATTTTCTTCTGTTGCTTATCTTTATTTTCTAACTTTCTATAATAAGTATGTATTATCTACATAATTAAAAATAGATCTAATTTATGTCATTTGGATATATTGACAAATCACATTAATAAAATGAAAATATTTTTCTTTTGAGTGTTCTGTGTGACTTTCAATGTTCAATATTCTGTGTGACCTTTAGAAGTCACAAAGACTGCATGACAAAAGGCTAATTGCCTTTCACTTGGTATCTGGTCGATTGGTTTGTTCAATACTCTTGACCCACAGAAAATGTCCACAATACAGCTAATACCCAGAAAGAGATGTTTCATTGAAAGCTGAGGCCATGTTTTGCTAACTAATTCCCCTAACTCTGTTCCTCAGGGTCCAGGCATGCTGGTTTTGTATCAACCATAAGGATCACTGGTCAGTTACTAGACAGCCTAGTCATGGCCCTGGTTAACCTGAAGTCTCTTCTCAGACCTGCATCTCACACAAGCATGGTCATTTCACAACTACCCAGGAAGTCAATGTTAGGCTGGCTACAATATCAAAGGTTATTAGGTTGAATTATAGCAGAAGAAGTCAAAGTCTCAAAATTCTGGGACTATTGTGAATTAAAACCCAAATGGTTCATTTGCAGAAGTCTGAAAATATGCTATGACTGTTTGGCCAGGATATAATCAAGGTGGCCTTGTTTAGCATCCTGTAAACTATATTATCAAGAGAGCCTATATTGGGCATGGTAGTGCCACCTGTAATCCCAGCACTGGGCAGACTGAGGCAGGAAAATCACACGTTTGAAGCCAGGCAGGTCTATAATAGTGAGTACCCTAGATTACATAGCAAATAAGGGTACTCTAGATTACATAGCAAAACCCTGTCAAGAAAGAGAGAGAGAGAGAGAGAGAGAGAGAGAGAGAGAGAGAGCCCATGAACTTACATTGAACCTCAAACAAATGAGAACACTCAATGAAGGTTACACACTTATGTCACCAATCTCAAGCTCATAGGAATGACCAAAGACATCATAAAGAGACCAACCCCAAGACTCCCAACAGGAGACTCTGAAACATCAGTCCCCATGTCAGCTATCACTTCACCCAAAAAGAAAGGAAAGGCAAGCAGACCTGTCACTGGCTAAAAGGTACATGTCTGCCTACACAAGCAGTGTTTTGTTTGTTTGTTTTTTTCTTTTGCCAGTACTGGGGATCAAACTCAGGGCCTTACTCTTGTGAGGCAGGTGTGGCGCTACATCCCGGGCCCCAAGCAGATCTCGATCCAGGTTATTTCAGGGCCTCACCTGGCTGTCTCCTTCCACTCCGCATCTTCTCCTTCTTTCAAACAGATCTCATCAAGCTCTGTGAATAGCTCATGAGGCACGTGCTCTTCATCTTCCTCGGTGCCAAGAATGAACTGAACACGCTGAGATGGTGTGTCTAGAAAATCAACCAGGGAGAGATCTGCAGCTAGCCTCAAATCAGAAGAGACATAGCATCTGCCTTACCTAACCACTTCAGGAATATATAGATGATCCTGAACACAGAGGTCCTTTAGTCTCAGAGGAAAAGCTATTCTATTAAATAAGTTTTATGAAAAGACAGATTTATGAACTAAGACTACCTGTAGATATCCCCTAAGGACCTAGAAATCTGACAAGTTTGATCAAAATGAAGGCTAATTCTCTAGCAAATGATTACACCTAATATGGTATTGATTGGGGGTGGGTACTGAACAGTGAAGTTTTCATGAAGACACTTTGGATTCTTGGAAACATTTCTTCTTGGAAGCAAACTCTGCAAAACCTATCAAAAGGCTAGAATCAAGATGACACAATTGTGCTCCTCACACACTCTTAGCTTTACCACGTCTCCTAGCTGTGGACACCCACTGCCCTCTTTCCCTCCTGAGGGTGTTACCATGGGCCAGGGCTTCCAGACCCTCCTCGCCCTGGCTGGCTCCTTTGCCCCGCCCTCGTCTTCGGTGCTTCTGGCCATGGGTCCGGTGGTGTCGATGGCTCTGCCGGCCCAGTGGCATCCGAACACCAACATACAGAGTTCTGTGACCTGGAAGGAAGCAGAAAGTCTGTGGCAAGAACTCCTTTAGTAAAAGGATTCTAGCATAGTTATCAAAAGAAAAAAATCACGTTTTGGGAGGGTTTTGGGGTGGTGGTGGTCACAAGTTTAGAATGATAAAATTTCAAAGACTTTCAGGACTAAAGATTCAGTAATATTAGATTTGAAGTTATCTTTCTTTGTCCTGCACATAGCTGCAAACCTCACAGGAATGTTATAAACACTCAAAGAAATCATGTGTCTTAGGGGCTAGGGAGGTAGTTCAGTAGTACAGTAAAGGCAAGTGCCAGGGCCTGGGTTCAATCCCTAGAGTCCAAAAAGAAAAGAAATAAGGTTTACATACTATAAGGCCTATAAGGTATTAGTTATTGTTATTACAATCACAATTTGAGTGATTTTTTAAAAAGATGATATAATTGCTCAATGACAATTGTGGCAAGTCCTGCCAGAGAGGCAGTTTAGAAAAGCTGTTAAGAACACAATTTAATGGGCCAAGGATTTAGCTCAGTGGTTCTGCCGCCTGCCTTGCAAGCTCAAGGACCTGAGTTCGATCCTAGTACCAAAATAAAACAAAACAAAACAAAAACACAATTTAATAGCACGGACTACACAGCAAGACCCCATTTCAAAACAAGGGTGAAGGGACGGCAGGGACAGGGGAAAAAATGAGAACCAAGACCTGTCATGTAAAGGTATAAGATCCCAATGATGAATATAACTGTACTGTATACCTAAAATGTACCAATAAACTCAATGAGAGAAAACAAGAACAACAACAACAACAAAACAAAATAGCATAGCACCACTTAGGCTCAAGTCAGCCTGCCTGTGTCCAAAACATGAATATATCATTGGCTAGCATGTAACCTTGAACAAGTTATCTAATCTCTCTGTGATGTCTTTTAAAAATGACCAAGATGTGATCTATATCTATATCTATATCTATAGATATAGATATATACCAATTCTCTCACATGAATGTATTTACTATATATGCAAGCATATATGAATAAAAAAGGGAAAAAAGGGCCAGGGATTTAACTCAGTGGTTCCGCCACCTGCCTCACAAGCACAAGGACCCGAGTTTGATCCCTGGTACCAAAAAAAAGGGGAAAAAATTAAAAATAAACAAGGTGTGGTGGCACATGCCTATAATCTCAGCACTTGTAAGGCTGAGGCAGAAAGATCGCTGCAAGTTTGAGGCCAGTCTGGCCTACATAGTGAGTTCAAGGCCAGCCTAAACCACATAGTGAGACTGTCTCAAAAAACCTAAAAAATTATAACAAAAAATAAAAATTAAAGGAATACTGAAAGCTTATCATTTAAACTCAGCAGGTTTGCATCAGCAGAAAGTAAGATAGTGCATGTAAAATGCTTAACACCATGGCTAGAACAATGATGACAAAACTTTTAAAGACTGAGTGCCCAAACTGCAACCCAAAACTCACTTGGTTATCACAAAATGCCAACACTGCAATTAAAAGTGAACGTTCAGATGCTGGGACGGTACAGGATGACTTGGCTTGTGTACTGACAGAGAGGGCTCTGTGTGCCCTCTGTACCAGGAGTGCTACAGGTTCACCACTGGCCTAGAACAGACCAGCCAATACATTCTCAATTAGCTTCCCCCACCCTTTTTTTTTGTACTGGGGATCAAACTCAGGACCTTGTGCTTGCGAGGCAGGAGCTGGAACCACTGAGCTAAATCCCCAGCCTGTCCCTCTCCCCCTTTTTTACCCCTTCCTAGCACTGTAGGATATACCATCTAGAACAGTAGTGAAAGACTAGTTATAAATCAAAAGGAGCACGATGCTGTGTTTAAAGAGAAATATATATTGTACAGAGAGTGGGGAAGATGTGAAAATAAGTGATCCAATAGCATCCTCTCTAGCGCCTCCCTCCTATTCCCTCATTCCTTCTATAAATCTGCTTTTTTACTTCGCCTGCCTTCTTGCCAAGCCTGGAGCCCAGAAGCGTAGCTTTAGAGCCATTCTCACACCTGACACACAGAGCCTTGGTTTCCCCGACCCAACTGATTACTTCCTCGCTGCATTCCCAATCTTAGGCCCACTCCCACATCTCCTGCCACAGCTGTTCCAATCGTTAGCCATGGTCTTCAAATCTACAACTCTACCCACATTCCCTCCCTCTGAGCAAGTGACCTTGCTTTACATTTTACTGTGGTCCTCTCCTGTGAATGCTCTCATCCCAATGTGGTACTTCTCTCTGCCAGGCTAAGGAGCATGGCTCTTGGCCCCATTACGTCCCACCCCTCCAGAGTACTTCTGCCTCAGTTCTCCACAGTTTCTCCTCGCCATCCATTCCTTTCACAGCTTTCTCCCACTGTACTGGAGACTGAGCCTGGGCTAGGCAGGCACTCCACCACTGAACTACATCCCCGTGCAGAGGTTTAATTACTCTCACAGTTCTTATTGCTACAGAGAGAGACCACAGGAGGAGCTCAGTAAATATTTTGTTTTGTTTTCTTTTGTTTTTTGAGACAGGGCCTCACTATGTAGTTGAGACTGACCTGGCAATCACTATGGACCCCAGGCTGGCCTTGAACTCACAGCAGTCCTCCTGCCTCAGCCTCCCAAGTGCTGGAATTACAGGCGCATGCCACCACACTTGGCTTCAGTAAATGTTTGTTGAGTGAAAAATGTACTCAGTGCAAAGATACTGGATGTCTAAATTAATTCCCACTAGGCAGGTGTGAGGAGATGGAGATGACATTCTTCAGATGCCTTTGATGTTTCTGTAGGAATATAAAGCTTAAATCTCAGAGAAGGCAGGGGGTCTGCCTTTTGAAAACACCAAAGAGACAGGCAGAAATGAAAACAAGCTCAGCAAAGATCAGTGCTAAGAATGACAAAGTGTCAAAAAATTAGAAATCAGTTTCTAGGCTGAGGATTCAGAAGCAGGAATCTCAATTTTCTGAGTGAATTTAGCAGAAAGGATAATAAACACACAGACCCTAGGAAATGAATACAGCAACAATAAAATCCAGTCCACCTAACTAGATTCTGGCAGCCCAGGGACTTCATCAAAGTAAGTCTACGGTGGCCACTTTGCTGTTCATCCAATGACACGCTTCCCTGCACAGTCTGTCTCCATCGATCTACCCATTCACTCAGACACCTTTTCTTCAGGTCTAATTCTTCATTCTTTTTCATTTTTCTCTAGTCAGCATCTCACCTCATCTATTGGGGCTAGGCACAAATTAGCAAAACTCCTGAGAAAGATGTAATGCTAGTGTCTATTTTGTTAAATAAGCACAGTACATATACACATACGGAGAGCAATCATAGTGGACTGGCACCAAATCTCATGGAGAAGGACAGAACCCACAGGTGTGACCCACGCTTTAATAGAGACTGGGTTTACTGACGTACAGTGCTGCACATGCACTGTTTACCAAGCACTCATGCGGAGCCCATTAACACATACAAAGGATGTTCTGCACCTCTGGGCTTACAGCGGACTCAGAGTCAATAACCACAAGGGGAAAGCTAACACGTGGAACAGAGGGCAGCCTTTTTCAAAGTTATAAATAAATAGCTCTGTTAAAAACTTATTAGTAGGCATTAAACTTACTCCGGTATTCATAAATCTAGTTAATCTGGAATAATGATCTGCCAGGAAAAAAATGGAAAAAGTCATTCCTCTAACTAAAGCAACTGCTGTTTTCCTCTGGGAATGGGAGAGTCCATGGAAGCATACCACAGACTGTTACTCTGATTGAGTCTATCTTTGGAAAGCTATTTTAATGTTTGCTTTTTATTCTTTAGATAGATACATAGATAGACATCAATACCATGGTTTAGTGTGTGTTTTCTCAGTGATAAAATTAGCTTATGCAAAAAGCATTTACAGTTTTTAACTATATCCAGACACTCTCTCAGCAATTATGGTGAAAATGAGGCAGGGGAATGGTTTATCAGGTGGGTAGTAGGTATGAAGTAAAGGGGAGAAAGACCTGTAGATTTCTATACAGCCACAGAAATCAAAATACTATTTACTCTACCTTCCATTAAAGTGGGACTGATTTTTATTTTATGCCTTCAAGAGACACCACTATCCTGAGCGCTGCCTCCTTGAGCCCTAAGTCTTCATGTCAAAGTGACTCAGGGGTGGAGGGACCCAAGGCATGGCCAACTCTCCATCAATCCTAACTCCTTCTCCTCTTCTCCAGGGCTGCTCTTTGAACCACATCAGGCCTGGGGAGTGGACATGATTTTTTTCTCCATTTGCATGGAGCACTTCTTTAAAAAGTGGTAATATAAATGGGCTGGGGATGTAGCTCAGTGGTAGAGTGCTTGACCAGCATGTGTGAGACCCCAAGTTTGATCCTCAGCACCACAAAACAAAAAAGTTCTGAAGAAAGTGCTAAAAGATTCTAGTTTTTAGAAAGGCCTATACATAAAAGACCATTTCCCAATATACCATCCTCTAGTAATGCTATCTTCATATGCAGTTTTCTTTTATAGCAAAGTAGGAGCGTGCACAGGGAACATATGATGTCATCAGGAGACACTGCTCCTGCTGCCAATTTCCAGCTAACCTCTATGAATGGATCCTAGTCCTCAGGATCCAAGATAGCTTGCCCAGGTTTATTATGCTATTTCTAAGTAGACAAAAGTGTGTTCATAAACGGTTACCCCCTCACTGAGGACAGAGGTCCAGTGAGTAATTGCTGGTGCCATAAAAACAGATGGTTCTGTGCCCCTTTCCTGTCCAGGTATAATGAGAGGGTAGGGAGATAAGAGGATTATTAGAACAGAATAAGAGGCAAGAACAGCACATAAAAATGTCTACATAATAAAGCAAGATACTGAGGTTAGATGGTTAATGCTGGATATTGTTCTCTCTTGCAAACAGTGCAGTAGAATGAAGAGAACAGGATTCTATCATGTTTCCCCTGCTTTGAAGCTAGATAATCCTGAACAGTTTCCTCCACGTAAAATTGGGATAATGATACCTACCAGGTACCTGCCCAGGGACCAGGCAGACAAAAAAGTCAACTTGTCTAACTGATGTTTCATCTAATACTGAACACACAGGGGCATTCTAAATAGTAGCATCCCACACCACACTCTCTTCTTTCTCCCATTTGCTGAAACCCACATTTCCTCTTTATCCATCTGGTCAAAATAACTTGTAAAACTTGACCTTGATACACCCAAACCTCAATGACCTCCACAGAGCCACCCACATAAGTTCTCACAGTAACAGACCCAGAGGCTGAGTCAGCCTCTACAGTTTCCGTTCTCTCCCAATCCAAAGGACAAGTTTTCTCTGGGGGTTACACAACTTTGATGAAAAATCCGTCATGGGAACAAGCAGTACGGAGAGAACATTTCACATGCTGTCCCAAGCATCAGAAAGTTGCTGTATCATAGCCTTCAATTGCACAGGCGATGCTGCAGACAAAGACTTTTGAGCCAAATGTGGATCAGGAAAAAAAAAAAAAAAAAAGTTGTACTGGATATAAGCCTTCCTCTAAATTGATGCCACCACTAATCAGAAACCATTGCTAGGTGTAAGGCCACCTGCTAAAGCTCCATTGAGGCCCCATGGGAAAAAGGAAAGCAAAAGAACACCAGCACTGGTCATGTAGGGAGTGGGGGTTGGGGACCAGAGACAGGAAAGAAGGGCGTTAATGAGGTAAACCAGACAGTCAGGCAACAAAGTGTCTCTTCCTCCCAGTTCAGTCTGGTTTTTATAAAATTGTGTTGTTAACTATTACAGAGTATGTCACAGGTGTGCTGCCTTTTCTTTTTAGGTAAAAACACCAGGAAGAAATGGGTACGGTTAGAAAATGAAGAACAAATATTGGAAATGGGGTTAAAAAAGGAAGAGTTCTATAGCCAAAGAGTTCTATAGCTAAAACTATTTGTATTGTATTTTCTTTTTAAATTTTGCATATACTTATATTTCCAAGTAGTGTCAAGCAAGAATCAATGGACTTCACATTCTCAAGAACAGGTTATTTGCTAATACTTTTATTGAACTATACAGTACTTACAGCACCACATCATAAGTTCTTGATTATACCTAGGGGTAGCCCTGTCAGGTGGACTGCGGTCTCCACTCTTATCTAACAGACAAGGAAATTGAGGCTAAAAGAAGTTAATGTGATTTTTTTCTTACTTCTAGTAATAGAGTTAGGACTTAAACGTAGGTGTCTGGATGGTAAAGCCAGATCTATTCTTCTCATACTAGGCTCTCTCCTAGCAACTTCCCCACCACACACACACACACACACACACACAAAAACAGCAGTTCTTACCTTCCAACTCTTCTTTCTCATAGTGAATGTTGAGAATTGTACTGGTCCCACCCTGATCCACCACAGCTTCTTCATCTGGTCTCTATTCAAACACAAATTAAGTAAGTGGGTGTGGTAATACACACATTCATTTAAACACTTGAGTACCTTGTATATGTCAGGCCCTTTTAAGATACCTGGGGGGGGGAATACAATGGTTTGCATATATTTTTAATTTGAACTTCACAATAACCTAGAGAAGCAAACATGGCAGCCACTTTCTTCCTCATTTTATAAATGAGCAGTCTGAGATGTAGAGAATATTAAATTACTATAGCGCAAGGTCACAAATGCAGCAAAAGACAGAGCTAAGACTTAGATCAGGTCTTGCAGGTCTTGTGATTGCAGCTCCCATGTCTTTTCCACCTATACGTCTTTATAATGATTTGGCATTTTGCAAATGCTGTCAAGCATGTTGTCTCATTTAATATAAACTGGTCTTCCTGATCTCTGTCCAGCATCTGGGTGTTTACTATACTGTCCTTGAAATTCTCCATCCTGCTCTTTGGATCAGGTCTCCTCTGTTTCAGACTAAGGCTCAGCTTCTTCTAACTTTAATTCCCAAGGAAGAACTCTTGACCCTTTGTTTCTCTTTCTTGGATCTTAAAAATTTCAACTGTAGCCTCAAACTGTGTAGCTCAGCACTTGATGAGCCACTGGGAACCTGCGCCTCAAGCAAGATCCATGTGTCTAAAATCAAACTAACCTTCTTTCCAAAAATAGCACTAAGTCCTCATTCATTTATTCCTATCCATGGAACCATCATTTGTTAACTCATATTCAAATTTCAAATTTATTTATTTATCCATTCAGTATATACTTAGTGCTTCACCATCTGCCTGCAGAAAATTAATTTTCTTTTATTATGAAGCGTCCCTTTGTACTTTATTTCAAATTCACTCCTATCTCTTACCCACTCTGCCCCACACTGTTTTGCCTTTTTTATACAGCATTTTTCAACTCTAGAGGCACCTTCTTCACTGAGTGCTGCTCTCTGTCTGGACTCCCATTCTCTCCCTGCAGCTCCCATCTCACCACTGGCAGCTAATAAAACATTATTCAACATCTCTGACCTTAATCTAAATGCAATGCAAAAATTTACTTGGAACCAGAGGAGACCTAGAATAGTAAAAGCAATTTTGGTCAACAAAAGCAAGGCAGGTGGCATCATAATTCCTTACCTGAAATTATACTATAAAAACAGCATAATTTTGGGGAAAAAAAAAACTCAAGGATCATTGGAATAGATTAGATGCAGAAACAACTCTAGACACACTCATCCACTTTTCTTAGACAAAGAAGCCAAATACCTTCACTGAAAGAAAGATAGCCTCTTCAATAAATGGTGCTGGAAAAACTGAGTTTCCATTTGCCCAAGATTAAAACTAGATCCATATCTTTCACCACGCACTAAACTCAAATCAAAATGAATCAAAGATCTAAATATGAAAACAGAAACACTAAATGAGCTGGAAGATAGGAGGAAAATAAGGGGAACTCTTGAAGACAATGGTGTAGGCAAAGATGTTATGAACAAAACCCCAATCACACAGGAACTATCACAAAGAATCAACAACTGGGATCTCATCTGATTAAAAAGCTTTTGTACAGCAAAAGAAACCACCAACAGTGTGAAGAGAAAACCCAGAGTGGGAAAAAATATTTGTCAGCTGTTCCTCAAAGGACTACTATCTATAATATATAAGGAATAAATCAGATCCCCCAAAATTTAAAGACCCAATCCAAAAAAATGGACATCTAAAACTTCTCAGATGAAGTAAAACAGCAAATAAATATATGAAAAAATGTTCAACATCACTGTTCATTCAAGAGATGCAAATTAAAACAACACAGAGATTCCATCTCACCCCAGAAAGAATGGCCATTATCAAGAAATTAACCAATAGAATACTGGACAGGATGTGAGAAAAAAGGAACCCTTCTTCACTTTTGATGGGAGTGTAGTCTGGTGCAACCTCAAAAACTAAAAAGTCAAAGTTCCATTTGACCCAGCTATTCCCTTTCTTGGTATCTTCCAGAAAGAATGAAAAGCATAATACCACAGGGATATCTGCACACCCATATTTACAGCAGCACAGTTTGTAATAGCTAAATCTTGGAAACAGCCCAAATGCCCGTCAACTGATGAATGGATAAAGAGAATGTATTTGTTTGTTTGTTTCACACAATGGAGTACTACTCTGCCACAAAGAAGGATAAAATTGAGAAATTTCTAGGTAAATGGATGAACCATGAGACCATACTCTTAAGTATATAAATCAGACACATATATTCAAATATTTCACGGTTTCTCTGGTTTAAGAACCTGAAAGTGTAAATAAGGACCAAAATGTATAAAAGATATTGTGGAACAGGGAGGGAAACTAAGGAGAGAGGAAAGGAAGGAAAGGAAAAGGAAAAAAGAGAACAGAAGGAATAATGGAAACACATCTTTTGTAAACAAGGAAGGAAAAGGGGTTGAAGGGACAGGAAGGAAAGGAAAATAAAAGAATGAAGATATATCACGTACAGGTACAAATTCTCTATGATGAATGCTATCATTATGCATATCTAAAATGTACCAGCTGCTGCCTGCCTCACAAGCACAAGGTCCCAAGTTCGATCCCTGATACCAAAAAAAAGTAAAAAACAAATAAAATATACCAATAAAATTAATTTTTAAAAAGACAGGTCTCAAGAGAGAAAGCATTGTTACAAACTCAGAAAGATGAATTATAGCTGAGTAGTCGAACAGCATCTTACAGTAATGGGCAAATTAAAAGGCAGGGACAGGGCTGAGTCATATAATGGTCCCACATCTGGAAAGCAGCCACAGAGGCTTCAGGGAGGGGGACTGTGGGAGGCAGAGCCCAACTAGAGCCTTCTCTTCGACACACTATCCATGCTGCTGTACTCTGGACCCGTGATAGCGGACCTGCCCAACTGAACCCTATCTCATTCTTGTAGTAGGTCTCAGACGTTTGACCTCAAAGGTCCCTTTCATTCCCCCACCTGAGGACCCATTGTTTTCAGAAATTATATATAATGCATTCCTCTCACCCCTGCAACCTTCATCCCTACCCAGACCAAAAGGTGGGGGTATTTATTAAGTTCTGATACATTTAATCATTTTTAAATCAACAAATATAAAGACGACTTCCAGGAATTTTAGGCAAACATTCTACACTAAGCTATATCCCCAGCCCTACTTCCAGGGTTTCCACTCAGAAAACCAATTTGATATAACTGGAATCAGGAGAAATGTTTATTGAGCACTGACTAAATCCCTAATTCTCTACATGTATTGTCTTACTTAATCCCCAAAACAAAAGAAAGATGTGGCAGTGTTCCCCTGTAATCCCAGCACTTGGGAGGCTGAAGCAGGAGAATTACAGTAAGTTTGAGGCCAGCCTGCACTACAAAGCTAGACCCTGTCTCAAAAAGAAAGAAACAAACAAACAAAAATCCCCAAAACAGTCCTAAATCAAGGCCAAGATCTCACAAGCACTGAGATAGGAAGATTCAAGTCTGTCTCTTATTTACATGATACATTAAGATTGCCAAAAGCAAAGAACCCAGTAGTCATATATTACAGTGCAGAGCACCTAATCATGGATTAATGCCTACAGTAAAAAAGCAGCTCAAGATTTACATTACCTTAAAAATCCTTAGTACACCAGAACCCCATATGCCAAACTGTACTTTTACTGACCAGATTCCAACTGTTCTCCATCCCCTGATTAATTTCCATCTTCCTCTTCATCTAGCATAGCATCTGAATCCTGGCACCTTGAAGGCCCCACCACTGAATCTGACCCAAATTTCCAACTCTCCAATGCCCACAATTACTTCCTCACTAGATACAAATATCGGGTAACAAAAAAAAAAAAGGTCCCACTTATGCTACTGACTTATGCTACTCTTTCAGACTCCTCAGCAGCCATGAGCTCCTGAATACCCATGAACTGCCCATCTTGACTCTTCAGGAGCTTGCTAGGGAACTAAAATTCCAAAATGGCTCTGGTTTCTCAGTGATTTGTTTATTGAACCTCACTCCTATTCAGCACAGAACTACTAGGTTAAAACATGGCAATAGGGAGAATAATGACCCCTCAAGAGATGAACATCTACTCACAATAATTTGTGAATATGTTATCTTGCACGGCAACGGGGAATTAAGATTGCACATTGACATAAGGTGACTAACCAACTAACCTTACAATAAGATTATAATAAATCAAACTACAGTGTAATCACAGGAATCTGTAAAAATGGAAGAGGGAGACAAAAGAATAGAATCAGAAGTGTGAAGACAAATCAGGGTTTGAGAGATGCAGTTTCTGGCTTTGTTTTGATTTTTGTTTTTGGTACCGGGGATCAAACTCAGGACCTTGTGCTTGTGAGGCAGGCAGCAGCAACCACTGAGCTAAATCCCCGGCCTCAGTTTCTGACTTTGAAGGTAGAGAAAGGATGAAGGAGGGGAACTATGGGTTAAGGAATGTAATCTCTAGAAGATGGAAGAGACAAAAAAATTCTCTTCTGGATCCTCCAGAAAGAAACAGCCCCATCAACACATTGATTTTGGTGCAATGAGACCTGTGTGAAACTTCTGAACTGCAAACTTATAAAATGATAAATTTATGTTGTTTAAGTCACTAAATTTGTGGTAAATTTTTATGGCAGCATTAGGAAACTAATATTGTACATATATTATGACTTCCTAAATACCAAGACCAGGGTAAACTTGTTACTACCTTATCAGCAACAGCCAGATTTCTTACTGTAACCTAGCAGCAGATTTGGAATAAACACAATTGGTTTTCTTTGTTCTGATTACTACTGTGAGCCCTGCCTACTCTGCTAAGGCAAATCATGAGCTAAGACAATTATCTAAGGTTTTGAAGGAACTAAAGTGAAGCCTGAATTGTCCCTCAATTCTCTGTCAAGTTTTTGCTTGATAAGTTAGTCTTCCTTCCTGAAGGTCCCCAGCAGAGCTGGTAAAGCCAGGTAGAGGATACGCACAGCTCCTCAGTTCTCACACAC